GTTGTATGAAGTTTACGATGATTTATGAATTGAAATGCAATATAAAAAGCTAACGGTTCGGACACTCATCGCTCACTAACCATATATATATACCAGTGTGTAATAACAATACCAGTGCTTGTTATATGGTTTACCCAAAAACCAAAAAAGGCAAGGAAAGGGTCTTTTTTTATTTATTGCTATTTATTTAATGTGTTACTTGTTATATACATGGCGTGAGTATACATGGTGTTATATATAATATATATATATATATATATACATCCATAAAAAATGGCAAATTGTTGTTTTCACATATTATTATTTATTATAAAAAATTATATTAACATTAGTTATTTTTTTATATATATATAATATATTCAATCAAATTATAGTTTATGTTATATAATATTATTGTATATAAAACATGACTTTTTTGTGCCTCTCTTTCTATAGCCATATATCCAACAAAGTCAGTGCCTCTCTCTCTCTCTCTCTTTCTTTCTCTCTTTCTTTCTCTCTCCTATCGGGTGCCATATAAGCCATGATTTTTCTGGTGGTTTGCTTCTGACAACAACAACAACAACAACACGAGTAGTCAGTCTCCCAGTGCTATGAATATTACATATTAAATACATAGATATAAAAATTTATATACATTTATATATGTGAGAAGCTAGTGGTAGTGGTGGTAGTGATGGTGGTGGTGGTGGTGATACTACTGGCTGTATATATATATATATATGAAAAATATAAGTATAAATATATTACAAATACATATCTACTGTATAATACCAGTGCATCGCACAACACAACACCACACATACAATATCTAATAAGAAATTGCATTTTATATGTCATATAATACATATGTATATATAAAAACTCATAAATAATATGTGAAAAGCATTTCATAGGGCCGTAACACACACCAAATGCTGATAAAATGTAAATTATATAATAATAAATACTTTATGAAATATACAGTACATGTATACATATAAAGGCATCAATATATATACAGTATGTATATAAATAAATATATATATATAAATAAAAAATTCATGAAAATATTTTGTATTTTCAAAAAAACATTTAGTTATGAAAATTTATATTAAATATCAAGTTTTTTTTGTTTTTGTAAAATTGATTTCTATTTATTATTATACTATGAATATTATTAAAATAATAATTAACTATTTTTTTCAAATAGAAAAACATCATTATTATTATTATTGTCATTATTATTATTATTATTAATATAATGACAAAAAAGAAACAAAATAATATATATTAAAAAACAATTAAAAAGTCAATAAATATATTATATATTCATTATTTTTCAACAACAATATATATATATATAGAAATATTATGTGAATTTTCATTTAATTTCAAGTCAAATATCTTTTTATTTATCGTAATATAAAATAATAATAATAAATAAATAAATTTTACTTTACATTTAACACAATTATTATTATTATCTTTTAAATTAGCGTTTTTGTAAATATAAATAAAATGACACACTAAACATTTAAATGTATGTATTGATTATTTTTTTTTTTTTTTTTTTGAAAAACACATTAATCAATATAATTTGTCAATATATAGTAGTACTGTAGTCAACACATACATACATAAACATATAGTTTTTTACAACACTATTATCTAATCAATGCATCAAAAATAAAAATTGATGGGCATATAAATGGGATTAAATAAATATAAAAATATATATATACAGTGTTTAAATACTATTAATTAAAAAAATGTTATAATTTACACATCATAGATATAAATTACACACATTATGTTTACAACAAATAGAAAAACAGTAATCAATTACTAATAATAATAAATATATTAATTGTCTTCATATATGTGTTTAAAAATTATTATTTCAAAATATTTGACAGACAGTAGGATCTACTACTAGTACTACACCACTAGATCTATGGCTCAGATATGTCAACAACAACCAAAAAATAAACGGTTATTCAAATTTCAAATCAATATATAGTTTCCATACCATAGTTTCATACAATGTTTAAAATCAGAGTCCACTGAAAAAAATCTTAAGGTAAGGGTATTTGAATACTAAGAGAGAGAGAGAGAGAGAGAGAGAGAACCATACCCTACCTATGGTTAGAGCCTACGGTAAACAACTTTTGTTAAGCAGTTTGTACGGCATTTTACACATCAAAAATATCTCTCGACTTTTTGAAGGAAATAGTGCTAAAAGAGATGGTATTTTCGTCAGCCGATCGCACAGTCCTTGGCCGGGCTATCAATACTATTACAGTACTACTATACAAGCAAAATGTATGTGTATGTGTTGAACCGCACCCAATATCACTACTACACACACACACACATACATAGATACATACTGTACACACATATAAGAGGAGCCTTTATAAAGTTAGGGCTCTTCAATACCCACATCTATACGGGGAATGGTATATATTGTATATATTATATATTTTCTGTTCAAAAATCTCAATGTCTAACTAATAATAATAATAATAATAATAATATAACAAATGTATATATGAATCGTGAAAATATCCATCCATTTCTCTCTCTCTCTCCACTATTTAGACGACTGACTTTCATATATGTATGTCTAAGCACTGTATGTATGTGTGTGTGAGAGAGAGGACCCACTATTTTTTTGGGACGATTTTTTATTTCAATAAAACTAGTCATAACTTTTTTTTCAAACATACAGGCTTTCAATAACTATATGAGTGATTGACTTCACAAAAAAAAAATCTTTTTAATACATACATACTGTACATACACTCTCTATGAATGAATGAGACAATTGCTACAAATTTCTCTCTCTCTCTCTCTCTCTTTGCCAAACAAATGACACACACATTATAAACAAACTAATCGACAAAAATAAATGACAAATAAATGGCTCAACAACTCTATGGTAGTCCACTACTAGTGTTAAAAAAAGGGTCAGCACATCCATCCATCCATCGATGAATGGCAATACACAGATGAATAGACTTATATGCATAGACTGAGCACTTAGGATAGGGCGCTCTGGTCTCTCTCTGTCTCTCTCTCTCACATTGCCTCTCAAGACCTAATTTATCACAAGACTGATAGGCTACCAGTGCCCAATTCACTTACATGTGTCAACTATAAGATAATATATATAAGTTATTGCACCACAACGACGAGGAAGAGAGGGTGCACAGGGAGGGAGAGAGAGATAGTTTATTTTTTGCATAAGAGAGACACACACACACATTGGTATGTATGTGTGCCAGTGTCGGGAGTAATGGCGCTCATCATTATCATCATCGCTTGTGAAACACATCTTAACTTCCTTTCAAATCATTCATCTTTTTTTAAAATGTTTTTATTTTTAAGTTGAATTCTTGGCTCAGAGACTTATGTGTCGGTCCGGGTCGGGGATCAACAGTGGGTATGTGTGTGAGGCTATCATCATTATTATTATTATTATGGAGAGACAAATGTGTGCACATTTTTTGTGGGGTCTCTCTCTCTCTGTATGTATATTCAAATGACTATTACCTAATAGATTGCAAATTATATATATATATCGATAAATATATATTTAATATATTTAAGACTTATATTTAAAATCTTAAATTCAAAAATAATTAATACTGTATTATTATTACAGTATTATTATCGTATATACAGTTAATGTTAAAACAAAAATTATAATACAACCAAAACAAAAAAATAAGATAAACAATGTTTAGCATCAATTGTTTTTTCAAAAGCTAACAACAACAAAAAATAGTCAACAAAAAATCAAGTTTATCTAAAATAATAGTAATAATAATACTAATAATAATAATAAGTTTGTAAATAAAACAAATCAAATCTATTATTATAGCTAAAAATTTGTTGAAAAATCTTTGACCGATTTCTCTCTCTCTCTCTCTCTCTCTCTCTCTCTCTCTCTCTCTCTCTCTCTCTCTCTTTCCTAAAGTCAAAGTTTAAGTCAAAAAATACTAATAATTTTTTTGGTATACTTTTGACATAACTTTTTTTTCTTAGCAAAAAAAAATATTACAACTTATCGTTTCGTGAGAGAGATTAAAGGAAAAAAATAATTTTCTAAATCTGCGGGAAATCGGGAGTTAAAGAAACAGCTGTAAAGTCAAAGAGAGACAGAGAGAGAAAAAAAAACTTATACTACTTTTTCTGCAACTCTAAGGGACAGTTAGGGGGAGGGGGAGAAATAGGGAGGGTAGGGGAGAGAGAGATAGGGAGCGCCATGAAATGGCTGGTATGGTATTCAACACTATTTTTGAATTATAAGCACAATTCAAGCGCCTCATCGGTTACACCACTACTACAGTGATGGTATATATATACTGTATATACATATCACTGGTATTTTTTTTTGGTAGTCAACTAAGTTGACCAGAAAAAAAATTAAAATAAATAGTAAATAAAATGTGAACCAAAAATACTATTTGAATTGATTGACAGTAATTGATAAAGTTTTCACAAAAAAAAATAATAAATAATTTTTTTTGTGTGAAAATATTAACAATAATTGAATATAATTACTGTATATTACAACACAAAAATCAATTGTCTAAACATACCACACAAAACAAAAACAAATTGACAAATGATTTGTCATCGAAATACACAAAAAAAAACTAATAGTAATTGTAATAACAATAAAAATTAATTTACAATTAAAATATGAAACAATATGAAATTCATAATTTTAAAATAAACCCTGATACTTATGTTAATTTTTGTTTTGTTTTAAATGGCTTTTTATTTTTTTAAAAAAAGAGATATCGATAATGTTGTCTAATATTTAGATAAATTAGACTAAAATTGATTGATAGACACACAAAAACTAAATGCATGTGCGCGGAGACATACATGTGTCTGTGTGTATGCCTCACATACTATACTAAACTAATTGGTCTCTTAATAATATTATTATTATTATTAATGATCTTTATAAAAATTAGACATAATCTTTAAAAAAGAGGACATACCTGTCTTCTCCTTGATCTCGCACAGTACGCTGAATAGGGCCGGTTTCATGCGATGACAGTTCAATGTATGCTTCCTATTAATGTTGTTGTTGATGATGATGATGATGAATACATATATGTATATATGGATAGATATATGTATGAAATAAAATATTCACAAAAAAAACAAAATAAAAAAAAATAACAGACAATTAATATTAAATGGCATAACAAACACCCAAAACAACACAACAACAACAAAACTATTGAAGCAAATTATTAAAGTGTTTTTCAAATTTATTAGTTTAATAATAATGTTGTTGTTGTTATTGTTTTGGTAATGTTAAAAATCAAATTGAATTTTTTAATTAAAACCTAAAAGCAAACTATTACTACTAAAAAATTGATTTTATTTATATTTTTTGTTTTCAGCTATTTTAGGTACAGTATATATATATTTCTATGTTGTTATTATCTCATTATAATTGCAATCAAAAAAGATTATTATTATTATTATTTCAGTATTTATTATTAATAGTGCCATTAATAATTATAAATAGCATATATAAAAAAGAGTCATAAAAATAACATTGAATATACAGTATATAATAAATCAAAAAATTAATATCTTTTAAAATATTTATAATATATACCGTATATATATATATATATATATATATATCTGTATATAAATTAATTGCTATACTATTTGGTGTGAAATATTTTTTGTTTTAAAAATAAAATAAAATAATAATTCAAATAATAAATAGCAATTATAACAACTATACAAAAAAATGTTTGGCCAGAGAAAACAAAATAATAATAATAATAATTCAAACTAATATAAATAATAATAAAATAAAATAATTAATTTTTTTTAATACTAAAACCTAATATAAATTTTTAAATATCATTAATATATTTTTTTGGGGGTAAATAAAAAACAACAATAATAACAACAAATTAGTGTAATAATAATAATAATAATAAATGATAAAAATGCATGAAAACAAAAAATATATAATAAAACTAATAATAATAATAAATAAATAAATCGATCAGTAAAATAATAATAATAATAATATTTCTATTATTAATAATAAAATACTACTAATAATAATAACAATATATAATCGTTTTTTTATTTTATAAATATCATATAAGTTATAATATATGTATTATTTTATATAATACTACTAAATTAACTAAAATAATAAAACTTTTTTTTATAAAAAAAATACTAAATTAAATGGCAATAAAACAATAAAAACCTGTTATTTGATGACAATACAGACCTGGCCTGAGCCTCATCGAGACTTTGGTCAGTTATGTTCATAATTTGTTGCAATATTTCCGATATATCGTGTTTACGTTGATCGGCGCCGCCGACTCCGCCGTCACCGTTGCCTCCTGTCTGGCCAGCCGTCGATAGGTCGCTTAGTCCGCCGTAGCCGTGCGGCGGCTGCGGTACTACGTGGGCAGACATTTGTTGTGAGACGGCATGCATTATGGATAGCGAATGAGAGTGTCGGCTATTGTCCATAATATGATGAAAAACACACAATTATTTTATTAATTTTTAAAAAAAAATTTATTTAAAAAACACTAATAATAAAGTTTGCGGCGGCGGCGGTAATATAGTCTCCCGGTGCCGATGAGTCAAATATGGACACAATTTCAACAATCAATTGGGTGTCCGCTTTGATTTGATTGATTCAATTGCCGATTATTGGCCAATCAATTATTATTATCTTAAAATAAAAAGTTTTTCACTATTTTTTGTTTATTGAGTGTTAATTAATCCTTCACTAAAAAAAAATGTTGGCCACCACCAGTTCCCGACCAGTTCCACGGGTCGCGTGAATCGGGTGCGCGCGAGAGCGGTATATATATATATATAACACACACCGAAACTGCACGTGTTTTCTATTTTTTGTGATTTAGTTTCGGTTGATTAAACCGTTGCGGTTATTGTGTGTCTTATTTGCAACAAAAACAAGAAAGTCTTGTTTTTTTTTGTTGTTTTGTTTATTATTATTATTATTTAATGACAATATTGTTGTCTTTGTTTTTTTTATTTGTTGTCACAAATCGCACGACTCTCTCTCGTATTGTTTACTATATGTGTGTCACAAGTGATGGTAGTGATGTATCTTCGCGAGTATGTCTCTCTCTCTCTCTCTCTCTCTCGCATCCAATTGGTTAAACAAATTAGATTTAGTGATAATTTTAAAAAATCAATTTTAATTAATTGACAGATCAGATGGTGATTGGGATCAGATTAGACACACCGCACACATCAACAACAATAATAATAATTAGACAGTTGTCTACTTTTAAGTGGTTAGTGTCGGTGATGGGTTGATGATGATGACAAACAATGTATATATATATATATTATTGATGTGTCAACTGATTGATGGCTGCTGTCTTAGCTGATGAGGAATAATAAGACACGGCATATGTCACCACTAATCAAAAAAACACACAAACAATTTGGCGGTTTGTTTACAAATTGAAAATAAAAATTATTTTATTTTTATTGTTGACACTAATTATCCATTAATTTTTGACTGATTGGTCTATCATTTAATTTTGTTTGATGTCTTCAATTGTCAGCAACGACAACAACAGTGGTGGTACACATGTGACAGTGTGTGACAGCAATATTGATAATAGCAGTCATCGCGTTGTTGTCGTTGATGTTGATGTTGTTATTGTTGTCGTTGTTATCATTGTTGTTGTAATGACAATAACAAACAAATATTATTATTATTATTATTATTAGTATTACTATTACTACTAATAATAATTGTTAGACAATTGAGAGACATATCATTCTATTGTAAATCAATGAGAGTGAGAGTGATATAACTTAAATGAATTGAATGAATGAATGAATGAATGACTGACTCGACTGATAGATATATTATACACAACAAACACAAACACAACAGTCCTCTCAGTGCTTATCAAACAGTGTTTTAAGCACTAGTATTGCAAATCAATGGCAAATCAGTCATACATACACACACAGTGTTGTTGTCTATCAAAAACTGTATGTACAGTATGTATACACTACTATACAGAGAGAGTCTGTCAGTCTGTTACAAACACAACACTACTACTAGCGCTCAGTTAGCAAAAGTTTTATTTTGATGGACAGCCAGAGCTATTGAAGAGAGCGCGCGAGGAGATTACCAGTTCCTCTCTTTCAGTCTCTCTCTCTCTCTCTCTCTAAAAGGTGGATACCATTTGTGAAATGCCACTCAAAACCCAGCCATCAACTCTGGTGTATGACATGCCTACACAACTATTACCCCCCCTTTCCCTTAATGTACACACATGTTGACAGTGTGAGAGGGCGTGTATGTGTTTGAGAGAGAGAGAGAGAGAGGGCAGACCCTATATAATAGGTTTCGCCGTTTTAGTAGTTTTTTTTTGAATCGGTTTCGCCAACCAATCGGTGCCTGAGTTACAAACACGAGTTGCACTCTCTCTCCTCTCTCCTCTCTCCTCTCTCTCTCTCTTATCTATCTAACAGTGCTGTCAGGGGTCGCCCTAAACGCTGGGCTCAGTTAGCCTGACGTCAGGCGGGTTTTGATTGATTGCTGGAATCGCTGGCAAAACCAGGAATAAAATACCGGTATCGCCTACCCATTAACAATTTGGTACTATTCTATACAAATAGGATTGTATGCAAACTCTATCCAATTGATTCTATATGAAAAGGTACCAAAACTACTGGATTTTATAACATATACTGAACCACAATGGCTGACAAACTGGTTGTCTGTATGTTTTGGTTGTGTTATGTTTTTGACTGACAGCTGTGTTGTTGTGTTTGTGTTATGCTATGTGTGTGTGTGTTGTGATGTGTTTGTGTGCCGGGAGTTGAGTTAGTGTTTAACATACAGTTTCTCTTAAATTAATAAATGTTTTGTTGAAGAAAATTAGTTTTTAACAAAAAAAAACAATTAACTAACTAATCAATTGGTAAACCAATGATTATGATCATCGGTACAACCATTTTGTAAGTATATATATATATATAAAGTTTATAATCATATTATGAATAGTCAGTCAATTTTGTTTTGCATGTCTTTTCATATGTCAATCCCATTGTAAATGTCTGGTTAGTATACACTATGTGTGGTACTGTATATCCTATGTATGCCCTAATTGATGACTACCTGTGTGTGTGTCTATGTGTGCGGTGGTGTCGTTGTCGGTGCAGTCATATCTGGTGTCATATTAGTAGTTTGATAGTCTATATACTGACCATCAAATATTGTTGTTGTTGTAATAGTATGTATGGGTTATGTATGTATGTATGATATGCTAATCGGTTATATCATCCAACAAAATGTTAGGTTTTTTTTAATAACAACAACGAAATGCTATATATTTTTTGTTGGGTCCACATATATATATATATATATATATATAATGCACGTACAGTTTATATGCGGTATAGGGTTAGAGTATGTGTGCATAAAGTGACGGCACTCGCACTGGGAAAGGGAGATCACTCTCTAACTCTCTCTCTCATAACTACTGTACGGCTCCGGTATGTTGTGGGAAATCGAGGCATACAATCATTAATTCTAATTTTACTTTATATATATAGATATCTAGTGTTGGATTTTCGTGGGTTATTGTGTTTAATGTGATGTTGAGTGACATTAATGGAAAAACTGTGTATAAAACTTATCATCAAAAATAGTTGAGTAGAAAAAAAGTGAGACTGAGTTAGCTATATATTCATCTATAGTATATAAAGAGCTGATCCAATGATCATATATATATATATATATATGATATCCAATCGACAATAATAACAACAACAATACCACCAATGCTTTTGTGTGACTTTTGACACAAATCATCATATTTTTTGCTCTCTCTCTCTCTCTCTCTCTCTCTCTCTCTCTCTCTCTCACTCCCCATCGCTCATGTATTTTATAATACATTTAGAGATAATTATTATATGTTTTGTCATAAATGTATTATATGTGAGACTATATAATATAATATATTATAATATATTTGTATTTTTTTTCAACAACAAAAAAATTATTCATAACTTTTATTGTATTTGACATATCATATCATCTCTCTCTTTCTCTCTTAAGTTACAAATTAGTTAGTATTATACGGTATTAACTATTACTTTATGTATTATTATTTTTTGTATATTTCAAAATCATTACTTTTAATAAAAAAACGTTATGTTATGTTATATTAAATGAAAATCAAAATATATTAGTTACCGATATAATTACTTAACTTATATTATATAATATATATATATATATAATAAATTTGCATATCATTTAGGGATATCATTTCATAATATTTTATGATAAATGTGTTTTTTTAATATACCATTTGATGTGATAGTTATTTAATATACTTTATATATACTCTCTCTTTCTCTACCATATAATCACTTATTACCACTAATTACTGATTTAATCAAAATAGTCAAAATTGAATTGATTGGTGAATAGATTTAAGAGCTAAATATACTGTATGTATATATATTTTTTTATATGTGTGTATAAATAAAAGGGTTTCTAAATACTATTGCTATTAATATATAATATAATTAAAAATTATATTTATTTATAAATAATAAACTGATGTATGAAATGTTTGCAAAAAAAAAGTTTGAGCGACACATCCAAAAAAAAATTTTTTTTGATGACTTTTAATGAAAGAAATAGTCATTTAATTGCCAGTCCTGTCAATCAAACAAAAAAACGGGTGCTCTGAATGTATTAGAGAGAGAGAGAGAGAAAATATATATTTAATTTTGCATTAATTTCTTGTGACTGTCAAGACTTCACTAAAAACTCAATTTTATAAAAGTTTTATATCAGTAATAGTTTGTATGCAAAATAAAATAATAATCAAATCTTATTTGTTTATGACATCATAGTTAATATGTTTTTTTTCTCTCAAAAAAATATACTTAATTAATAGCTTTTTTATATAACAACTAAAAATTCTTGACTTTAATTTTTGTAAATGTTTAGAGAGAGAGAGAGAGAGAGAGAATGAGAGTGAAAACAATTTTGAATAAAATTAAATTATTATAAAATAAATTTAGTATTTATTAACGTTAGTTTATTTTCTCTATCTATTATCAAATAGGTTTACGACAATTACCTGTTAATACAGTGATAACTTAGTTTGTTTTTCTTGTATACAAATTTATGATTGCACTGGTAGTTAGTGGTGGGTTTGTGTACGTTTGTTTGGGTATCCTCTCTATAAACGGGTGATGGCTTTCTACGATGACAAGAGTTTTATACTATCGCATATAAGACACTCGTTTATTACCTGCGATGACACCGGTATGTGCGAAATGGTTATGCTTAACGAATCCATACGCAATCAATATGACGATAATGATGTCGAAGATATGGATCTATTGAAGAGTATGTGTATTAGAGTTTGTTGTTGTTGTCTAACTTTTAATGCAAAAAAATAGCTATTGAATTGGAAACCAAATCGGAACTGTTAGAGGCGGCCCAGTCCTACGATATTATGTCCGATATGGAACTGATTGGTGTCAGGCGCCGATCAAATACTGCCCAACGGCTGGAAAAGTTAAAACTTGAAAAGAAAAGCCAGTCTAAAGTCAAAACAATCCAATGGAAGACAAGTCCGTATTCGTTGACAGGTTTGTGTTGGTGTTGTCGTTGTTGTTATTATTGTCAATAATTTTTTTTTTGGTTCATAGACTATGAAATAAATGAGTTGTTTCCGAAAAAAGAGCTCAAAGCCGACGATAATGATGTAAAACTGATTGAACAACAAACGAAAGACACGCCGAAACCATTGAAGAAAAAATCGGCACTAAGTTTACAATTGGAAAACTGTCCGAACATTCCGAATAACCCGTTCCTTGAATACGCCCGTTTCGACGGCCGGGTCAGTGAGGGAACACCAACCAAACGGATAACAATCTATTTGACAATGTTAGCCGGCGAACAACGTCAACACCCCATGGAAGTGGTCATACAGATCAATGCCCGAGTCGGCGACCTAATCGGTCTCATTTGTTGGCAGTACACCAATGAGGCCAAAGAGCCCCGACTCAAACCCAATGTTGCCAACTATTCCCTGAGGATTGCCGAAGAGAATGGTGAAGTTGATCCCGATTTTCCTAGTCTTAATGCTAAAGAATTTATGGCCAAATTCGGTTTCCCGGTGCTGGCACTGGTCGAAAAAGATGAACACGAAAACAATATATTAGTTACAATGTAATTGCAGTGATATATATATATATACAGTCGATGACAAAATTGATGAACGAGGTTTTTTGTGTATATCTTTAGAATGGAAATGAACTAGAACAAAAAAAATTTTTTGCTACTATTATTTATTGGGACGGTCAGTTTGGTATTGCCACTTTTTTTGTAATTGGGCACAGGTATGCAAGGACAGGGATGGTCAATATCTCGAAAACTATAATAGATATTAAAGTTTTATAAATTGCTAATTATACTAAATCTGATAATATTGGACACGTGTTTTGGCATTTTTAATTTTATTGCAAAGTATTCAAACAAAATTAATTTTTTTGTTGCAAAAATCAAAATTTAAGAGACCATATCTTTTAAACGCATCATTATATCATGATTTAGTTAATTGATTTAAATTCTATATTTTAGTACTAACAATTCATCTATACATTAAATTTAGTTAGCTTGTTTAGTTTTTTAAATATTTGTAAATTAATTTTTTTCTATTGTAATTAAGTACTAATTATTGTCTTCTATTACATAACATTGATAACAAAATCTATAAATAATTACAATAGAAAAAAATTAATTTACAAATATTTAAAAAACTAAACAAGCTAACTAAATTTAATGTATAGATGAATTGTTAGTACTAAAATATAGAATTTAAATCAATTAACTAAATCATGATATAATGATGCGTTTAAAAGATATGGTCTCTTAAATTTTGATTTTTGCAACAAAAAAATTAATTTTGTTTGAATACTTTGCAATAAAATTAAAAATGCCAAAACACGTGTCCAATATTATCAGATTTAGTATAATTAGCAATTTATAAAACTTTAATATCTATTATAGTTTTCGAGATATTGACCATCCCTGTCCTTGCATACCTGTGCCCAATTACAAAAAAAGTGGCAATACCAAACTGACCGTCCCAATAAATAATAGTAGCAAAAATTTTTTTTTGTTCTAGTTCATTTCCATTCTAAAGATATACACAAAAAACCTCGTTCATCAATTTTGTCATCGACTGTATATAGCTTATATAGCTATATATATATATATATAAGTATAGACTTATATACAGTATATAATAATGATTATTATTTGATAATTTATTTTCTCATTTATTATTTTTTTTTTATATTGTTTGTTATTATCTATTAGTTATATCGATGAAGTTTTTTCCAAAATTCAAGTCAATAGTCTTCAGCTAACACTTCAAGAGCTGTTGGAGTTGACTATCAAAAAGAGAAGACCATCTCTAGTGAAAGGTATATATATATATATATATATATACAGTATATAAATATAAGTGATTGCTATCATCAATGGGATAGCGCTCTCTCACTCTCTCAAATGTTTAGTCACTTATCATCATTTATCCAAATTATTTTTGTTTTTTTTTTGTATTATAGGTGTTAGCTATAAGCTGGAGAAGCGTAATGAGCCCGGCGTTGCCTTAGATTTGAAGCAAACATTAAGCGATTGTAATACACTTGAGTTTGTATTGGTACCCGACCAGCCATTAGGTAATATTAATAATAATGATGTTTTTGTTTGACCATTATTTTGTTGTTGTTATCATACCTTATCGGTAATACAAATACAGTAATACGGTAATACAGATACATACTCTAATATTATTATTTTATAATTAAAAATTATACAAATTATTTAGTATATTTAAAATTTATTTATTTATTTCACTAATTTTATATTTTACTATATTGTATGAGACAATTGATTGCCAAATAAAAGCCAAATATTATATAATATAATAAGTTTGAAGTAATAGTAATAAAATAAAAGTTAACTTTATATTAGTCATATCTATATATAGGTTATATAAATTATTTTTACAAATAATTAGCTTTAATATATGATTTTTGTAAATTATCGCTAAAAATAAAATTGATTTTTTTGTTTGTTTGTTTCAATTTGTTTAGTTGAAGTCAATGATAGTCGTCCGACAAATCGTTATGACTTAGATATGACAGCAATGGAGGCACCACTCTATAAGTCATACACTGTAACGGCTATTAACAAATACGGCCGAACCGCTGAAGTCGAATTGGGTATCAGTGGTGATAAAATAGAGGTCACACCGATGGCCAACAAAGGCTTCTTTCAATGGCAACCAAAAGCGGTTACCGTTAATGACGAAGACGTTATACTTTGCGAATTGTTGGCACATAAACTCAGTTTAGTTTTTTTATTGTTTTATTATATCGGTGTATAATATAAGTGTGTGAGTGAGTCTGTGAGAGAGAGAGAGAGATTATTGTAAACTAAATGATAATTATTTTTTAATTTATATATTAATTATGATTTTTTATTATTTATATATATATATATATATCTGTATAGATACGGGAAAGTCGACATTCAAAGTTGTCTACTGGAATGGTATAGACTATAAGCACTGGACATTTGAAGCCGAAACTAGTATAACAAATGAAATATTGAAAAAATTACATTTTGTTATGAAAATGAAATCCAGTCATATCCGAGACGAGTACTTTGTACTCAAAGAGCATAAGAATCTTAAGAAATATAATTTTTAAATTTATTTTATATAAAAAAAAAATTTTAAACGAGAATTTAGTCATTTTTAAAAAGTGTATATTTTTAATGTGAATGTAAATATATATATATTTTGAATTGTTTGTTAATATTTGTAATGATTTAATAATAATATTTTAGAATTTATTGCATACTTTTTAATACAATATTATAGTTATAACTGTTTTAAGTTTATTATAGTTATTAAAGTCAATAAAAAAAAGTTATTGGAATATATGAATTAAATTATTATTTTATTGTTAATTTTTAGTTACTAATTATAATGCAATTTAAATATTATATACTAAAATAATTTAATACTTACCGTATATACTGGAAAATACTATGTTTTTTACACTCAGTATTTGTATACTATATTATTTCAATCAAATAATTTTATTTATTTTATATCTATATATATATATGACTAATTACTATTTAAAATCAATAATAATATTATTAAGTAATATATATTTGCATTGTTTTTAACTTTAAATTTAATTATCAAGTTTTAAATATTATTTTTTTTAATCAAAATTAATTTTAAAAATAACTTACTAGATATGCATGCGACATCTAGTGTATCAAATATTTAAGTTAGCAAAAATTATCCAGTTAAAATTTAATAATTTTAATTAATTACTAATTAAATTATAGTTAATTTATATATATATATAATTTTTTAATAAATAAAAACAATTTATTTTTTTAGAGATTTTACTCACCATTAATTGTTTTGAAATAGTTTAACATTTTAATTATTAATTTATTTTTTAAATTACAAAATAAATTGCACATGTTTGAAATTGAATACAAAGTTTTATTATTATTATTATTTTATTTTATTTTATTTATATTTTATCACTTATTGAACACAATTTAAAATTTAAATTAATACAATTGCAAAAAATATAAATAAACTAAATTATTATTATTATTAGACTTTAATAATTTATGAATGTGTTAGTAATATTTTTCAACTAAAAATTTTAATTTACTAATTTTAACACTAATTAAACAATTTTTTTAATAACATGAAACTTTGATTATAAATAATAAATAATAATTTACATATCTATTAAAAATAAATGTTTAAATGACTTTATTTGACTAAATTTTATTAGTTTATAAGTTTAATAAAATTACTAATTATTTACAAAAAAAATTATTTATATATTATTAATAGTTTATATTTTTAACATATATATATAAAGTTATATATTTATACAGTAGAAATAGTTCAATTAGTACAGTATTGTATATAATTTTTGTAACCACTATTTGGTGTTATAATAATATAATAATAGCTATAAATTTTATTTTTTGTTTGTTTTATTAATAAATAGTTATATATTTATTATTTTAAAAATTATTAATAATTCCTTATTAAAACAATATTTATATTTAATTAATTATCAATTATAATTATTTTAAGATTTACAGTTTGTAAAATAAAATTTATTATATATATATATATATCAGGGTTAAGCAATGTTTTGGATTTTAGGGGGTAGACCGGGGTAAAATTTACAAAATTCTCGAAAAATCTTGGGGGGGGGGAGGTATTGGGTGGGGTAAGATTTTTATTAAATTTTTAAAGGGCTCTTTTCAACAAATAGGCAATTTTTAATTTTTTAGTTTAATATTTTAATTAAAATTATGTTATTTTTAGATGAGTTTTAACGTTATTTTTAACTTTTTTTTACTTATTTTTAATCAATAATTAGATTCATATAAATTTTAAAAACAAAAAAAATTTTAGGGGGGGTCAATTTTTCCCATTTGGTCAAAAAGTCTGGGGTTGTAAAATCCCAAAATCTCGATCTTAGGGGGGTATTTTGGCCTTACCCCTCTTACTAACCCTGATATATATATATATATATATCAATAGTATTATTTTTTTTCATTAAAAATATATATATATATAATTAAAAAATGTTTTTCTAAAATTTATAATATTTTCAAACTCAATAATAATTTTAGTTATAATTATTTTTACTTAATTATTATTTGTTATTTAAACATTTAAATATTAAATAAAATATGTAAGGCTAATAAATTAAACTAATATAAATAATAGCTACAAAGTTTTCATTTATTATTAATTTTTATTAATTTTTTGTTTGTTTATTATAATATTAACATTAAGTACGGAATTAATCGATTTAAAGATTTTTAATAATATAATTGAATTTTAAATTAAAATTATTAGTTAACAAAATTTATTATTTAAAAAAAAAACGCAAAATCATTATTAATTTACTTAATTAATTATTAGTTATATATTTTATTTTTTTTAGTATTTATTAGAACTATTATTTTTTGCTGATAAATACTAAGCAATATAAATTTAAATTTAAATTTATTAGACAGTTTTATTAAGTTTTTAAATAATAAAATATATTTAGTTTAGTTAATGTAATGTAATTTATAATAATAGTTTATTAATATTTATAATTATTTGTAGTTTTATTAATGCATTATTTTAAACTAATGTTTTTTTTTAAAAAAAAACAATAATAATATTAATATTAAATAAATTAGTAGAAAATAAAATAAAATTTAATTGACTAAAACAATTTACGTGAAAATTAATTATTTGAAAAATAAAATATTGCCAAAACTTTATATTATTTTAAACGAGTTTAACATTAGATTCGTTGAGATAATTATTATTTAGAAAATATTAATAATTATCTATCGATTGTTAACAATATATTCAGTTATCTAAGACTTGTTTCACATTTTTTTTTATTGAAGAATGAATAGATCGCCAAAAGACTCGTTCGAGCGCTTCGGCGACGACTTAACTGAACTGTTGTTAACTTATCTGACATTTGAAGACAAATTCAGATTTGAATCGATATCCAAACAATGGCAACAATTGATGTTCAATACAGTCGATGAACTCAATGTCGATGTAGTGGTAATGTTAGTCAATGGCAATACATTTGATCCATTAATGTATCCGAAACTCTGTTCAGATAACTGGCAGTCAGTGTTGAGAAAGTGTAGAAACATATCGAAAGTTTGGCTTAAAATTGATTACAATTTGGAGAAAAAAGTCAAAGAATTGGTAGTCAATGATGAAGAGTCAGATAATGATGAACATGTAGACAGTGATGAAGACGTAGACAACGATGAAGAGGTAGTCAATGATGAACTGGTAATCAACGATAACGATGACAATATTGACGACGATATGGTCGAAGAGGAAGTAGAGATCGATGAAGAATATATTGAGGAAATTATGGATAACAGAAAAATTGATGCCTTTATAGACAAAATCTATGATGAGTTGACTGTTTTGGTGGTCAACGAGTTGAGTCAATTGACACACTTTACATCCTATGCCAAGCATTTCATTAGTGACAAAACGGTCGTCAAATTGTTGAACAAATTTGGCGGACAATTGAAGTTATTTAAAATTTCCGAATCAATGAGAAAACAAATAAGACAATTGTTACCATCGATGCCACGATTGCAAACCGTCAGCTATTGGCTTACCATCGATGACATTGTTATCGGTAATGTTGACGATACTACCGGTGAAGACACAACAAATTTGATTATTAAACAACTCAAACGCTTCTACATTGTCCTAACTAATGACTATTATAACAATACTGTCGACAAGTTTGTATTGTTTGCCGATATTTGCCGCAAAAGACAAATACCGATATCAGAGCTCATGTTTTGCATTACTAATCAATACATTGAAAAACTTATGAATTGTTTTACATGTTTCGGTTCATTAACTGATGTCAATATTTTTCTTTTCTATGGAAAGTTTAGTAGACAACAGTTCCAGCAATTGGTAGACAATTGTCCAAAATTGAGACGATTTACCTACAGGTCAGAAGTTTTTATGGATGACTTCAAGCCATTGATCGATGATATCAATGCAGTGTTTGGCGGCACTCGTGTGACTGGACTATCAGTTTCTGGTTATCCAATAAACTACAAAAACTTTGTGCTGACCAGCGATATGTTGAACCGATGTCGACAATTGACACAATTGACTATCAATGGCGTCCAAATACAGGATCCGTTTTTTGCCGATCTGGCCGTCTATTTGCCAAAACTCAATCATTTGATATTAAGTGGTGTTGTATTGACAGACACGGGATTACAATCGTTGTCCAAATTGGAGCGATTGGTCCGATTGACAGTCACACTGTCAAAGCAAAGCACATACACCGAGTCAGGGCTTATGTATCTGAAAATGAGACCCAAGTTTAAACAATTTCTAATTAAACAACAAATTTTCTATTGATATCTTAAACACTTTTATTTTATTTACTTTTAGTTAGTTTTTTTTATTTAATTTTATAATATATTTAATTTAATTTATTGTAAATGAAGTTTTTTTTGTTAACTAATTCAATAGACAGTATTATATTAGATAGTATTTAATAAATATTTTTTAAAAAATATAAATATTTTGTTTAATTTGTTTGAACAGTAATTTTCAATATATATAATATATGTATTTTTTTAATTAATTTAAATTCTATTAAAGTCTATTAAAAATTCATATATAGAGTAGTAGTATTACAGAGACATTGAATTTAGATACTGTTTTTTAAAATACTAATTTTAAAAATAGTATTTTAATATAGATTTTTTTATTCATCATAATTAATACAAATTGTTTATTGATTTATAAAATTGTTTTATTTTTGTAATACGTGTCTCGATATATCGGCCAATGATTAGACATTATGTCAATTATGATTCAATTATGTATTATTATCATACTTTACAATGAATGTTAAACAGTCATAGTTGTGTTAGAAATATTTTAAAGTATTATTTTATCTTAAGAATCGTCTAAACTAGACCAAAAGTTTAAGACCAAAAATTGTCTTAAAAAAGTAATTTTAATAGACCTTTGGGAAAACACACCGGAAATTGGCCAAAAATGGTCTAAAAGCATGGGATCAAAAATATTATCAAATTTAGGTTAATATATGATCTCATATTAAAAAAACAAATAATTTGAATTAATAATAAAAATGTTATTAGCAATTGAATTTGTTCACGTACATTTTGTATCAACCAGTATAATTCTAAAAATAAATAATACAATAGTCTTTATACTAAGTTTTTATGATTATATTAGCTTTTTTCTAGCATTTATATAATTATCTATAAATAAATCTTAAATCATATATAAATTAACACAAAAAAAAACAAATAATTGGGTAATAAATTTAGTTTTCGATGGATCGGTAATATATTATAGATAAATAAATAGACAAACAAACAAACAAACAAAGAGAGAGAGAGAGAGAGAGAGAGAGAGAGAGAGAGAGAGAGAGAGAGAGAGAGAAGAAATAATAGTATTTTTATCAACTTTCATAAAATAATTCAAATTATTTCTAACTCTTTTTTCTAAAAATATATACAATTTTTTGTAAACACTTTTTTCTTATAAATTAATACAAAATACTATATTTGATATATTAATTGCAAAACAGTTTTCAAAAAAATCATTAATTTAAATGATAGTGTTGTCTGACGGCTGGCGCCAACGGTGCCGGCGATCCGGCCATCAAATCGCGACCGTTGGCCGACTTCGGGAAAGCCATTACATCGCGTATCGATTCCTGTCGACACATAATAGCTATCAGGCGATCCAAACCCAATGCAATGCCGCCGTGCGGCGGACAACCGCTACGTAAAGCGTCCAAAAAATACTGCATCGAATCGGTGTCTTCCTTAAGGATCTGTTTGAGTACAAACTCTTGCATTTTATGGTCGTGTATTCGTATGGAACCGCCGCCCACTTCCTGGCCGTTGAGTACCAAATCAAAGTGTCGGCCCAATACTGATAGCGGATCAGTGTATAACTGTTCCAAGTGTTGCTGTTGTGGTGCTGTAAACGGATGATGGGCTGACTCCAGGAGCAGCTGTGATGAGTCTTTTTGTTGTAAAAACAGTGGAAAATCTGTGATCCAAATAAATGACAACTCTTTGTTGTTGTTGTGGCTATTCGTGAGTTTAACCCAATCGGCTCGCAATCGACCCATTAATTGGTACTTAAAAATAAAAATAATTTACTGTTAATTAAGAAATTTACGGTAATTTTTAGGGCTAACACCACATCGCTTACCACATCATCTTTGGCACCGATGGCAACAAATAAGTGATCATCGCTTGTTAGATGACTACTACTACTATCTAACTCATTGGTGATACTAGTCTTCAAATTGTCACCGATTTGATCAAACGATGATAGATAATCTTCACAACAATCAATACAATCGAGTCGTCCATTGTATTGAAACTCTCTCTTGATTTCTGCAATAGATTTCTTTAATTCTGTTAACTTATCTTTGGTTTCCATCTATTATTTTTTTGTGGTAAAAAAATTCAATAAAAATTACCGATAATTACAGTTAATAAATATCTTTTTTTTTATAAATCTTAACTCACATCTGATGTATTGATTAGATAAGTGACACAAATTTCATCGTCAGTATTATCACTCATTAATTGATGTTTAATATTGATTTCTTTTAACTATTAAATTAATAGATTTATAGAAAATAAAAAATAAGTATTTAATTAAAACTACTATTTATTTTTGTATTGACGACAACACAAACACACACTTTAGTATCAGATCTAAGATCTGGTTTATCAGATCCATAGTCACGTATGGCATCTGAATATGTCATTCGCCGAAACGGTAGCTGAATATTGTCATCACTAAATGGCCAACAATACTGAATCACTTCCTCTATCAGCGACATTATGCCGTCTTCATTGGTAAAAGACATTTCTAAATCTAACTAAAAGATAAAAAAAAAGTTTAATTTTCATAAACAAATCAATTGATAAACAAAACAATTATAAATCCAAAATACTTGTGTAAACTCTGGCTGTCGATCGGGTTTTGTTCCTTCATTTCGATAGCATCGGGCAATTTGGAAGTACCGATCGATACCGCCGATCATCAATAGTTGTTTGAATTGTTGAGGACTTTGGACCAGATTGTAGAACTGATCCTTGAAATCGGTGGACACAACAAACTCTTTGGCGCCCTTTTTTGGAGAGAAAAAGAGGTTCAAACAAATCAATTGAAATAAAATAACAATTCTCTCTCTCTCTCTCTCTCACTCAAGACATACACCGGGTGTTGGTTTGAATAGTGTCGGTGTCTCTACTTCGACAAACCCGTACTTATCGGCCAACAATTGTCTCATTTTGTTGATTACCGCTGATCTCAGTCGCAACACTCGCTGCAATCGTTGATGTCTTAAATCAATGTATCGGTACTCGAGTCGTGTCTTTTCCGTTACTTTATTATAGTCGCGGACAACAAACGGTAGGTCGCGGCGACATTCGTTCAAAACGGTCACCTCATCGGCAATCACTTCAACCGAACCGGTAGACAACTGGTTGTTAACGTCTTTCGCTGGCCGGTTGACTACTTGGCCGACCACTTCAACTACCGATTCGGTGGTTAATTTGTTGACCACTTTTTGCAGCCGTCTGTCGCCGAGCATGACTTGTGTAGTTCCGTACGAGTCTCTAATAATCATGAATTTCCCGTATCGTTGATATTGAATCCAACCGCTTAGCCGAACCCTGTGGCCAACATCTGCGGCCGTCAATTGGCCGCACGTATGACTACGGTTGACAAATGTATTGACGCCGACGCGGCTGTTGTTGTTTGATATGGCATTCAATGGTTGATCTTCTTCATCTGGTTTATGGCCGGCATTGACGGTATGATTAATGTCGTCCACTTTTTTACCGATGATTGTTGACGCCGACAACGAGGACGACCACCGCTGGCCGCTATAATAAGCGGTAAAAATTGAAGATTTTTTATTAATAATAAAATGTTTGTTAAAAAGTTTTTTTCGTATAAAAAACATGTGATTTGTTTGTCCGCGCAAACAGTTTTTGGCCACTGATTGCAACATAACTGACGGATATTATTATTATTATATCAATCAATGGTTTTATTGTTTCACATTTGATGTAATAATTGATTGATTTATATGTTTTTGTTATAATAAATAGTAATAATTATTTAATTAATTATTAGTTTTAAATCACAATTTTTTAATTATTTTATTACTGTATTATTGATTGCATCACATATTTGTTAATAACATTTGTAACCATAAAGTATGTGTTTATGTATTAAATGTGTTTTTTTAATAGATATGATAAACTAAAACACAATTTTGTAATAATAAAAAAACCAAACCTAAAGTTTTTTTTTTTGAATATAAAGTTTTAGTATAAAATCCTATTTTTTCTTAGGTTTTTAGGTTTATTAAAAAAAATAATCAATTATTAATAGTAATGATAATAATAAATTTAACTATTATTTATATTAATGTACAGTAAATATAATGTAAATTTAAAGTTAATTTTTTCATTATCTATATATATATTTTAAATTATCTCTTTCATTCAAACCAAAATTGTATCAGTTATAACCTCTCTAGTTTGTACATACCCCACCCCACGCCACCCAAAAAATATTAGCCTGTTCATTTTTAATAATAACATTTCTATTTTATTTCAATTTATTTTTTAAAAAATAAAGAAAAAAATTCATCATAATTAACAAGATATATATAAGTGTATCGACACAAACAAAAAAGTTATTATTAAATAAACCAATTATTTTTTTTAATTAACCGGTAAAATGAAAAAATAAAATAAAAAATAAACAAACAAATGATAATATCTTTTGATTCAATGATTTTTGAATAATAATTTAATACAAGTTATGGTAAGTTTTTAACAGACAGACAGACACTACTAAAAAAAATCAGTCAATCAGTCATCTGGTTATCTCATCTAAAATATGTTTCCAGATGTGGTATACGTATAACACCGACACCGCCTCCCAGTCTCCTATAGTTCATTGACCCGCATAGACACCATTGATTTTTTTCCGGATCGTATACTTCAATTGTCTTCAAATATGTTGATCCATCAAAACCTGAAACAAACAAACAAAAAAAGTGATTATTATTTCAATCAGTATTACCGTATCAGTTATCAAAGTAATCAATACATACCGCCGACAGCGTAGAGCAAACCATTAACCACTGCTAGACCGACACCCGAACGCCGGGAGGTCATCGCAACAATCGGTTGCCATTGATTTGATTGGGGATTATATCGTTCGGCTGAACTCAACTCAGTGGTATCGTCTCGGCCGCCGACAGCGTATATCATATTGTTATAGACAGCGCATCCTAAATGTTTGCGACGGGTGCCCATCGGCGCCACTGGACACCATCGATTGGATCTGGGATCGTATCGTTCCACTGTATTCAACGGTGATGTACCATCCGAGCCGCCTATAGCGTACAAATGGCCGCCGAGTACGGCTACGGCTACCCCTAGACGTTTGGTACTCATTCCCGATACTTTGTTCCAGCGATTGGTTTGCGGATCGTATCGTTCGACAAAATTCAGACACGAAACACCATCCTGACCGCCAACAGCTGGAGATCCAATCGGGAATCAAATTGAGTTAAATATATACATATATACCGGTAAGTCATAATATATTTAGTATTTACATACCGTAGAGAAACCCGTCCAAAACGGCAACGCCTACCGACGTCCGGCAAGAGCTGGTCGGAGCCACATCACTGCACCACTGGTTCGTATGCGGATCGTAGCGTTCAATACTGTTCAGATAGCTTTGGCCGTCGTGTCCGCCGACAGCGTATAACAGGTCGGATAGGACGGCACAGCCGACACCGCATCGGCGTTTAGTCATCGGTGCAACCATTCGCCACTCGTTTGATTGGGGATCGTAGCGCTCGACACTGGCAATGGCATCGCCACTACACCAGCCGCCGACGGCAAACAAAACTTCACCGCGACGGACAGGCTTACGGGCCCTAAATCGCGGTCCGACCATCAATGGCCGTTCCTGAGGCAATAGCAAATAGTTTTTTGCTTCATCCACTAAGTCACGGCAGGCGTCATCGCTTTTGATTAACAAATCCGAACCTACTGTTCCCACCAAATATTTGGCCGTCAACTGCGACAGCCGCACGTGTTGGAGAACATGTGCCAAATGCTGGCGCCGTTCGCTAACATTGTACTTAACCCATAACATTAGGGCACTGTAGACCTGTTCCTCTGTTCGGACATTCAGTTCATCCGACGATATGATATCAATGAGTTGATTGACAGGCAATAGGAGAAACTCTTCGTTTTCGATCACCTCCTGGAACCTGTCCTGAGTGTACTTATCGGCAAATAGTAGCAACTCTTGACACGAATGTGTGTCAGCAAAGGCACGAATACCCAGACAATTGCTCGGATCTAACTGTTTCTTCAGGAATTCGCAGCAAACTTCTTGTATTTCGCTCATCTGTAGCAAACAGGCGGCTGGAAGTAGGACCTGAACATTGCCTTCTTCGACCACTATCTGCGAAGAGTAGGCAAAATCTACCAGCAGTTCCATAGCGTGTTCGTCAATGTCACGGATGATCACTTCTGTCTGTCGGCTTTCGGCCAATTCTCCCGTAAACATAGCTATATATATATATATATATATAGAGAGAGAGAGAGAGAGAGAGAGAGAAAGTGGTTAAAACATGTGGTCACCCGAATCATCAGCCAAAAAAAAGTCATACCTAAAAAATATGGACTACAAGCCGACAGTACTACCCGATGGGCCAGAATCTTCCGTTGGCCGACAATTAGGACAACATCGCACAGTTCACGCCGACGGCGCAAAACGTTCAACGAGTCCAGTATAAGTCGGGAATGTTTTTCCGATGTGTACTCCAATCTGGCCGGCGATGGCGGCCTTTCGAGGTCGCACTCGCGCAGAATGTCACCCATAGTGGCCAATAAAGTGTTCAATAGTCGGCCCGGCCGATAAACCAACACAAAAGTTGGTCACCAATCAATCAATCGGGTGGGAGGGAGGGGTTGTTATAGTATCGCCGCCGTTGTTGTGGCTGCCGATGAACTAATCATCTTTGTTGGCCAACAGCTGTTCCCGTCATTGAAGAGTTTAAAAAATCAATTGCCGTTACAATTGATATATCATTTAAATTAATTAATTATTTAGTTATTTATGATATTTGTGTCAAACAATTGATTCAAAAAATAATTATTATTTTATTTATTTTTATTTTATTTATTTTTATTTTATTTTATTTTCTCTTTCAATGTTTACTATTATTATTGTTATTATTATTATTATTACTGTATTTAATATACGCGAAGCCATAATATACAGTTTGACTCATTTATATTATACATAAATAACGTCACGTATTATTCAATAGTTTTTTTTATTTATTGTTAAACTATTTTTTATACTTGTAATGATTAAAGTTTAATATTAATAGTTATAAATTTGGTTCAATTATATGGTTACCAAATAGTGTATCCACAAAAAAAAATAATTTCTGTATATTTATTTTTTTTGTATTATAGTAATTAATTTTTCCAATAAAATTAGTTAATTTATTTTTGTAATAAAAATATTATCAAGTAACATTTACTGCTACTACTACTACAAATATACGTGTTTTTCTAAATTAACATTTTTATAAAAAAAACTTTACTAGTTATTTTTTTAATCAATTAATAGCAAAAATAATATTATTTTTTATATATTTATTTTTATTTTAATTAGAGTATTTAATATGTTCTTGATGTTAATTTATTTTTTTTTTAAAATTATTTAATCAATTAATAATGTTATGTTAAATCATACTAATTATCAAAATAATTGATATACAATTTTTTTAGACAATGTTTTCTAAAAAATAAAAATAAAATACTAAATAAAAATTTTAAAATTATAAATATTTTTTCAAATTCTAATAAACATTAAGTACTGTATAGTAGTCCTCCTGATTGTTGGTCACTCTATAGTATAGCTATTAATACTAATGCATTGCGTGTACAGCATATGTAAAACCATTAGACACAACAAAACTATTGATTAGCCGATAATTGTTGGACACATCCGACGACTAGAACAGCAATTTCCCGCCGCCAATGGACAACAATCGACGAAACAGTGGCCATCACGACAGCGGTGACGGTGGTCACCGGGAAACGAGTTCACCCGCAGTGTAAGCAACTAATTGTCCACAAAAATTATCCAAAAAAAAAATCAAACAAACTTTTAACTAATTAATTACCGCAGATCTGGCCATAAACACCACTACCGATATAACGCCAATTATTGGTTACGTAACCGAAAACCTGTCGACTATTCTGAAAACAACATTAAGATAGAGCCGGCCATCGGCTCCACCGCCGCAAATCAACCGGTGGCCACATTAAGCCGTAACGATATTTTGGTCAAATTGCCGATTGAGAAAAGGCACGCCATTATCGAGTTGACCATCGCTTGTGTTGAATCACCTAAACGTAACCATAGGGTAGTTGTCAACATATTTCAGACCAAAAATGTTACCAATGATGACAACAATAAAGACAATAATTTACCGCAAGTTGTCGACAAACTGATAATCAGTCAGCCAATGGTTTTTTAATTTTTGTTAATTATTATTATTATTACTGAAAACATTTGAATTTATCGGTAAATATCATATTAAATATCACATCATTTGAATCGTTGTTACCGTAATATGTTTTAGTTGTCATCAATCACTTCATTGAAATTTTTTTTTTTAAATAAAACAAATTGTATTTTTTTATAATTGGGTTTAATATTTGATGACAACTAATAATTATATTATTATTATTATATAAATTACTGTTATATGAAATTTTCTAGACATTTACAAAATTTACTAAACATATAAAAATAGTTAAATGAATCAATAAAACAAATCTATAATCAATTAATTAAATGAAAAATTAGTTAAGTTTGAGTTGGTTTGGGATTAGCCATTGGATCCGTTTGATGATGAGGTCGACGACAACGATAAGTAGTCGTATAAATTATTTTTAACATACAATGGATTATAGATATCATTGTACGGCAATCGATCCAAATGTCGATGAACTGTGTCGACGATGTCCTTCGATGGTTGCCGAGTAATCAGCGAGTCTACCGAATCGGTAAAATACGGTAGAACTAGCTCTTTAGTGGCCACCGATTTCATGACCAATGTTCGGCTATCGGGCGATGACATACACGCGTAGTAACTCTTCAGTAACGATGACGGAGAGGTTGTCGTCGACGACGACGAAGAAGATTTGTTTATCGATTCCAGAATAATAACCGATTTTTTCTCATTCATGGCATCGATTAGACCATAGAATCGATTCCAATTGTGTTCCAATTCTTTCAATGACATCTTCAGCGATCGGGTGGCGCTTAGAATATAGGGAACGCCATAAATAACTGAATCGCATAGTCCTTCCCGTCCAACCAATCCAACTATTTTCAGATCAAAGTACTCATCCTCTCCGTGGCCGCCAATGTTTGGCAACAATTTCATTAGATTCATCTGATCCGCTGTCAATTGTTTGCCATTTTTATCGATTGGTATACTATTCATATCGATTAACGATTCTTTGATATCGCATTTAATGATCAACTCTTGATCACCACAACCATTGCCATCAGCGATATTATTATTACCGCCATCGATATGTAGGCTAACTCGTTCGCTGATAAAATCGATAAAATGTAACCAAACTTTAAAGTAGCCATCGATGGCAAACTCATTGTTATCGATGGTCTGGACTTCGACCAATGATTTCAGTTCATCCGATATGGTTTGCATTATTGATTTGTCATTCATTGATTCGGTTATTACGCCCGACGAACTGCAAACAATCGGCTCCATCGTAGACAATGGATTCGGTAGAATCGGTAAATAACGTGACTGTAAATAGTCGTCGTCCGACTTAATACAGGCTATATTGAGCTATAAAGGAGAACAATTACAACAAGATTTTGGTATCAATTGATAGGATAAACAATAACAACAAACAAACCACTGAAACAAACTCCAAATCCATTTGTCTATCGGTAAAAAAGTGGTCAAAATCGCGCAAAACCTGCGCCGATGGCCGACCGCTAACATAGATCACGTCGACTGATTCCATGGCGTTGCTGGTGACGACCAGATTGTAGATTTGTTTGAGCGCCGACTCTATGGCCGGCAATACGTTGCCGACTGTTGTGGCCGATGGTGTGATAGTGGACGTCGCCATACGGCTGCCGACAAAGCGATTCAGTTGCGATAGTTTGTCCAAAAATTGTCGCCGAAATCGCTGATCGTTGACACTCATCAATGGTATCACTTGCTGGACATCTGTGTTGTTGTTAGTGTTGTTAGAGTTGATGACAATTAGGGCAAAATGTGTGACCGTCTGACAGGTGTCCAATCGGCTAGCGGTCAGTAGCAACAGTTGATGCAACGTATTGCCGATCAATCCGATGGTGCGGCCGCTCAGTCCACCCGATGTTGTCGTCGTCTCAATGATTACACATTTGCCGCTTAACTGAGCCATTGATTGATTGAATGAATGATTAGATTCAATGGTTTTGATGACAACAACAACAATGTTATTGATATCAATAGATGACTGAATCGATTGATTGATTGTTTGAATATTAATATCTATTTTATTACTAATAATACGGTTTAATATGTTTTGACAGTTCATTGAAGTGTTAAAAAAAATAGACAAAAATTTATTGCCAAACCATTTGAATAATACGTATAAAAAATTGTTTAATAAAAAATGTTAAAAATAAAAAATCAATTAATTAGATTTAATTATAGTAAAAATAAATTATAGATTTTTTTTATAATTAATGTAAAATCTATATACTAAAATATACTAAAAAAAAATTATTTATTAAATTTTAAAAATCCAAATCCTAATAATTCTATAGAAACTATTTTTTTTTATTAAATAAATCTTATTAATAAAAAAATGTATTTATAATTTTTTACTCAAATAAATATATAAATAATAATTTATATTATTTATTTCTACAAATATAAAGTTATGTCCGAAATATTCAACTGATATCTGAAATATTCAACTGATGTCCGAAATATTGAACTGATGTCCGAAATATTGAACTGATGTCCGAAATATTGAACTGATGTCCGAAATATTGAACTGATGTCCGAAATATTGAACTGATGTCCGAAATATTCAACTGATGTCCGAAATATTCAACTGATGTCCGAAATATTCAACTGATGTCCGAAATATTGAACTGATGTCCGAAATATTCAACTGATGTCCGAAATATTGAACTGATGTCCGAAATATTGAACTGATGTCCGAAATATTGAACTGATGTCCGAAATATTCAACTGATGTCCGAAATATTGAACTGATGTCCGAAATATTCAACTGATGTCCGAAATATTGAACTGATGTCCGAAATATTGAACTGATGTCCGAAATATTCAACTGATGTCCGAAATATTGAACTGATGTCCGAAATATTCAACTGATGTCCGAAATATTGAACTGATGTCCGAAATATTCAACTGATGTCCGAAATATTGAACTGATGTCCGAAATATTCAACTGATGTCCGAAATATTGAACTGATGTCCGAAATATTCAACTGATGTCCGAAATATTCAACTGATGTCCGAAATATTCAACTGATGTCCGAAATATTCAACTGATGTCCGAAATATTGAACTGATGTCCCAAATGTTGAATTGATGTCTGTTTTTAATTTTATGTTATCATATAAATTATATATAGTTCCCAAACAAACTATTTTTAAGTAGTTATTAATAATTATATATATATATATTTAATGTTAATAACTTTATTATAATATTAACTTTTAATAATTTTAAAAAATTATATATAATTAAAAATAAGGTTTGCAAGCTTAAAAAACATGTAAAATTACTAAAAATAAATTTTAATGATATTTTTTTTAATTTAAAAAAATTATAACTTCAGAAACATTTTAATACATTATTTTAGTGTAGTTTTTAAAATTATTAAAAAATACATAAACTGTATATAAATTTTTTTTTAATATAAAAAATTAGATAAACATAAACATCACGTGATTTTTGTTGTGTTTATTATTAATTAATTATTTTCAATACAAACACACTGTCTGTGTATATCATCTTATATTTGATCCAATAATCAACAACAATGTGTGACAATAATCATAGTCTACAAGAATTAACAGATAATATCGACAAATTGATGGTACAATTGGCAACATTAAGACAACAACAACAACAACAATCAGATGATGAAGAAGAAAAAGTGGACACTTTGTAAGTCTTTTGTTTTTGTTTTGATTGTTTGGATCAACCAATTGGTGGATCAAATTCAATGGTGATAATAATCAAATGTGATTCAAATTGATTTAGTTTAGATGTAAATCATTGGCACTGATCTATAATAATAGAGGTTTCTGTTACTACAAGTCGGTTGAGTTTAATTTGGCCGCCGATGACTATACTCGAGCCGTTGAATTAGATCCCCGATTGGCAGTCGCTTACTATAACAGAGGAACTATTCACTACCGGATGAGTTAGTAGTAGTGGTCATCATATTATTTGATTAGTTTGTCTACCGATTACTAACCGATTTAATTGATTGTAATTTTTTTTCAGACAATTTTGACAAAGCAATCGTCGACCTGAAGTTGGCCACCGATTTGGAGCCGCAGAACCAAGAGTTTCGGTTGGCTTACGAGCACTGTTGCCAACAGTTGGCGGCGATGGCCACTAATACCGATATCACCGACTCTGGGATCAGTTAATTAGGTGTTTAAATAGGTGTTTAGTTTTTTTAAACAATAAATAATTGTATTTTTATTATAAATTGTTTTCAATTTTTTTTTGGTTATATTTTTCAATATATCATTATTTTACTAATTATTATAACAAAATAATATATTTTTTTTAGAAATATATATATAATTACCTGTAAATTACAATCAATCACAATATCGGTTCAACGTTTGACATAGAGATCAATATGTTAATCATTTGTATGGTATTTGCATTATAGACGGTCTCATAGAAAGTGTTATCTATTGATTTATATTAAATCAAAAAATATATTATAATGAAAATCAAATTTATAAAAATTAATTTAAATTAATTTTTGTGTTGAATTAGACTATACCTGACATCAGGTGCGGCACTGATATCACTTCAACCAACTCCAGGAGCCCATCATTATCATTGACATCACGTCTGGTGTCTAAGTTTGCCAACAATCGTCTTAATTGATCATAACTTTCATTATTATGTTGACTATCGTCACCATCACTGGTGTTTCGGAACAGCCATATGAGTCCTTCTCCAGGTCTTTGATTGCTATCATCATCACTACTACCATCTGATCCCAGACATGAAGAAGGAATCACCGAATAGTTATGAAAACCTTGTGATATCATATAAATAGTTGCAGTCATCAGTCGTGTTAGTAAAACACTTGTATGCAGTATAAGTAGGCCATCATTAGTGGTGCCAATTGAAGACTTGAGATTCAAGTATTGTTGGATCAACTGTTTGATCACAACTTTTTCATCGCTTAGACTATTTAAGCGAAACTCGTTTTTGATGGACAACTCTTGACAAACATTTATAACATATATATTTCTTTGATTATCATTATTAGTACTATTATATCCGATCTCATCTGTCATTGACGTAGTCATCGGGAGTTTATCAACCAATTGGTAACCATTTAATAGGCTAAACAATTGCCGGATAAAATTATTATCACAATTATTATTATTATTATTAAGACAAATAACAGTATTTTCTGATTTAGTTAAATTGTAATCAATTAATAATTGTTTGATTATCTCATTATTATTATTATCGGTAATATTATCATTAAATCTAACATTAATTTTTTGTTTCAATTTTATCAATGATTTATTTTGTTGTTCACATAATAATTGTCTTAATCTATTGTATAGTATAACTAGCGATAGATCGCTAAATTTTGAATTTTTTATCTCATTATATGGTAAACCATAGATGTAGTCAACAATAGATGATAATTGAATGGTTGGATCTGATTGTTGTTGTTGTCGTTGTTTCCAATATTTGCATTCAATTAATTGTGTCTTAAATTTCAATTTATTTGTCCATTCAATTAATAATTTATTTAAATCATTTATCCAAACAATGATTGAATCAAAATTATTACTATTATTATTATTATTCAAACTTTTCCTATTAGTATAGCTAATATTATTTGCTAGAAAATCGTTAATTTTCTTAAAATACAAACAATTATTATTAATATTATTTTGATTATTATAGTTTAGTTTATCGTTAAAACTAAAATCATTATCAATTAGACAATTATATACTAATTCATCGCTCGGTTTAATACTAAATATATTTAATTTTTTGATAAACTTTTTGGCAAAACTTTTATTTTCATTAACTATTTGCCGTTTCCTGTGTTCAGTCATTATTGTCGGTGAAAATAATTGTAAATTTCTTGCAATTACTCGACACTGATTGTCAACAAAATATCGGATACAGTCTTCAAGTTTACCGAAAAATCTGTCGGATATTGATTTCATATTAAATATTGGCCGAGATTTACATTCGTTAGCTAAAAGTTTGCCGACAATTGTCGTCAATCGAGGACTAGACTTGAAACCCAAACCAATTACGTAGAGTTCAGAGTTACCCGATTTGCTGGCCGTCGGTTTGAAGACATGTAGCCGACGGAAGGCACAGCACAGAAGATAGAGAAGACATTGTGTTTGACAATCAAATAGTGTAAACAGTTTCACGATTAGTGAACCGTCTGAGGCGAGAACAGTCAATCCGGTCAACACTTCTTTGGCTACCAATGGTAGGACTACTTCCTCTTGACGTTCAGGACAGTCAACACAGTTGATACTGCCATCGCATGTGACTATATTGAAGCCGTCGTTGGCCGCTATCTCTCGCCTATGCATTTCCAGGCGTAGATCATCAACGAAATCATTGTCCAAAATATTACCAGTATTTTTGGGTCCAAACCACCAGTTCGGGTAAGACATCGGCTGACGTATAAACCTGTCGTCAACAATAGTATAGTCAATGTCTTCGTAGTACGGATTCAATGTAGTGGCCAACCATCGGTAGTTAAGTCGGTCACTCGTTAAGTCGTGACTTTTCATGTAGTGATTGATGGCATTAACGAAACCGCCGGGACATTCACAGAGAAATAGTACATCAAGTGATTGTTGTCGTCGTTGTCTTTTACTATCTTTAGGACCACTTCTTTCTTCGTCTTCGTCTCCTAAGTGGCGCTCAATTAGTCTCAATTCGCTAAGCATTTCATACATCTTCAGCCAGGCTTTGGTCAGTAGAAACGGCTGACGTGACAGTTGTCTACGCAGTGCTGGTATAATCAGCGATGACTTGTCCGTCAGTGCCGTATGAGCTGACCATCGGTCAAGTGGTATATCGTTCAGTTGACTCTTGACGGCCATCAACTCGACCCGCAATCGGCTTATCGCTGCTGTTGTTGGCCAGACTTGTCCGCCGCCGTCGTCATCGTCATCACCGTCGAGACAGTGGCGCTCATCGGGTATATCATAGACATCATCCGTGTCTTTGAATATGTAATTCATGTCTAATATATTAGATATATATCTTTAAAGTCAATTGACTTTCAATAAAAAAAAGACAACATTTGACAGAAAATATGATATTTTTTACGACAAAAAAAAACTTTTTAATACATTTTGTTTTTTTGTTGTTTTCATTTAATTATGTTTTTAATTATTTGTAATTATATTACACAAAAAAAACTAAATAAATAAATTAGTAATCAATTAATTGCAAACAAAACAATGTGTTGAATAAAAATTGATTTTTTTTTTAAAATAAAATAATTTGTATTTTGTTTTGAAAAAATATCAATACATTTACATTACTGTATGAAAACACTTAATAAACATTTTAAACATGTGTTGTATATTATGTGTTATTATTATTATTATTATATGTATGGCATCTATCGGACAAAATTTTTTTGAATATTAGATAATAAGTGATTTTTGATTAAATATTTGTTTTTTTTTAAATTAAACAAAAAAACAATTTTAACAAAAAAAAATCCTAGATTTTATTTTCTATAAACAATTGTCTAACAATATCTATTATATTGAATAATATATTCAATACTATTAATAATAATAATAATAATAATAATAATAAAAAATAAATTCAAATTTTTCATACATTTGATTTTTTGATTTTTCAAATAACTGATACAAAAATTTTTGAAATATAATTGAAAATTTTTGTATAAACAAAAATAAGAAAAAAATGCTTAACCTTAAAATATAATATATAATATATATTATTATTATTATATTTTATATATATTTATTTATAAATACTGTATACAGTAGTAAAGTATATAATGTTGAATAAAAATATATTATAAATCATACAAAAATAAAATATTAATTATATATAACTTGAAACATATTATATTTATATAAAAATTTATATCATTCCAGAAATTCCATATAAAAATTGATTAACAAAACAAAAATAATAATAATAATAAACTAATAATTTATAAATTAATTTTCCTATTAAAAACATATTATATTTTCTGATGAACTATTGAACAAATTTATATAAGATATTTATTGCACACAAAAATTTCATATTAATTAATATAATAACATTTTATGTATTAATAAAAAAACTTTCCACAAAATAATATTTAATAAATAAATAAATAAATAAAAATAACTGACAACTATTTCTAATTCAACAAAAAAATATAATAAATTATTAGTCAATTAATTTAAAAGAGTATATTTTTTATTACAAATAATATTTACAATAATTACTTAATAACAATATAGTAATAATATTTTAGTTATCAGGTATTATTGATAATCTATTAATCTAGTGATACATCATTGTTATATAAATTATTAGTATTAAATTAGTAAAAAAATATAACAATTATTGAAATAACAATTGAAAAAATTCAAAGTTTGAATAATTAAATTCAGACAACAATTGACACCCATTTATTGTTAAACAATTAATTAAGTAGTAGACAGACAAACATTGGTAAAATTAATTAAATTATAACATCAATTAAATCCACTTTATATGTTTAATGTGTTGACTGACCTATTAATTAATTGGCTAATCTCTCTCTCTCTCTCTCTCTCTCTCTCTCTCTCTCTCTCTCTCTCTCTCTCTCTCTCTCTCTCTCTCTCTCTCTCTCTCTCTCTCTCTCTCTCTCTCTCTCTCTCTCTCTCTCTCTCTCTCTCTCTCTCTCTCTCTCTCTCTCTCTCTCTCTCTCTCTCTCTCTCTCTCTCTATGTTCAATAAAATAACTTATAATTATACAGAATCTGTATATACAGTAAACTAAAAAAAGTTAATCAAAAAAAATCTTATAAAATTAAACTTTATCTTTATTGTCAATATCTATGTCAAAATAAAAACAGTTAATTATTGTTACAATAGTATATACTATTACATATATGGCACCTGTATGTTAGGTCTATTGATAGACACTAATTTTTACAACAAACAACAACAACAAAAATTGCACATTTAGTTTTAAATAAAATTTACTAATAATATTAATAAAATAAAACTAAAAAAACATAAATGACCAGTCTAAATAATAATTGACTAGAATTAAATGATCTAGTTTATTTGAGGTATATTATTTTTATTTTTATTGTGTGAAATAAATTAAACTCATCGGTAAATAACAATTAAAAATTTCTATTTAATTATATTTATAATAAAATCATTTACAAATCTGTGTAAATGTTTAAAAAAATTTTGTTTGTTTGTTAAAATACAATTAAAAACTACTTATAAATATATTTTAATAAATTTTTTTAAAAATAAAATATTAAATATCGCATAATCCATATCTATAATTGATGTAATATTATTATATAAAATAAAATAATTTAATAATGTTATATACTGTATATATAAATAGTTTAGTGTATATAAAATAAAAATATTAATATTATATTAATAATATTTAATATTAAATATATTATACACACAAAACAAAATTATTATTTTATAATCAAACATTTATATAATGTATTACTGAATCAATTATTAAATTTTTTGTTGTTGTTAATCGATTTTTCAATTTAAATCGAAATATAATAATTTATATCTAATATTATTATTATTTTTTTTAGTCTATTAATAAATCTCAATTATAATTTTTTTCATTCAAATTATCATAAAATATAGTTAATGATTTATTTTATTTTATTTTTTTGAGTTTATATAAAAAATAATTGAATTTTGCATTTTTTTCCAATTATAGCTTATTTTGTATACTCTCTTATTGACAAAATATGATTTGAAAAATATTTATTAATATTTTTTTTTCCTAACATTTAAAGATTTTTTTAGTTCAAATAGATTTAAAGTTATTATATATTTATAATATAATATTTTTATTCAAAAAATAGATTTGTAATTGTAATTTTTAAAGTTTAGTTTATTTAATTTTTAATCGTTTTTTATTTTGAATAAAATATATACAGTAATATATATAAATATGTTTTCAACATTTTTGAATTAAATGTAAATAGAAAATAATAATAAATATTTACTGTATTTTTAAACAGTAAATAATATTGTAATATTTGTTGAGATGAATTTTTATTTACTATTTAATAGAAAATATTTATATAAATTAAAAAATTGTTTTTTAAAAAAATTTTAACGTTCAAATAATTTATTTTCTAAATTTATTTATGTGGGTTATAAATTTTTTTTATTAAAAACTTATATTTATTTAGATAATCATTAATGTTAACTAATATAATTAATATATAACATAATTATATTTATCATACCGGTATAATAAGATAAAACAAATATTTATATATTAAAAGTAAAAAAATTGCTGAATTTATTTATATTTATTTTGTTAGCAATTTTTAAGTTAATAATATTAAAATAAAATTTTAAAAAGTAGTTTTTATTTATTTTATTTATAAATTAATATAATTAATTACTACATTAATCAATAAGTAATTTTGTTTTTTAACATCAATAAAATTTTTATTTGTGTAATTTAATATGTTATAAATTATTGTAATTTATAATATTATAACTTATATATAATAAAATTTATGTTAGAATATTACACAAAAAATACAATTTATAACAAAGTAATTATATTTATATATATATATAATTAATTATTTAAAATTATATTATAAATATATAAGTTAAATTAATATTTAATTTTTAATTGTTAAGTAATGTTCATTTTTTATACAAACTAAATGACAATTTTTTGTTTGTTTGTTAATATTAAATAGGAATGCAATATAACAAATGTGATATTATATAATATATGTGATAAATAATTAAAATAAATAATATAAAAATAACAAAATTATCAACAACAAAAATATAAAAATAATAATAATAATGGCCATGAAAATGTTTGCACACACACATACATACAATTAATTTTAATGTACTAAACAATTACTTAAATTGTTTGTTTATTATATATATATACTAACTAATATATAGTATATAAACGATATATAAAATGATTATTATTAATAATTTAAGCAAACAATATATATATATATTTAATAAATACATAAATGATTAATTCAATTCAATTTAATTGACATAAATAATAGTGTGATATAGTTGTTAAACTAAATTATAATATATTGTTATAAGATATTACTGTATTAAAATGATAATAATAAAATTAATAAAAAAGTTGTTAAACATTAAACATTTATTTTTTAATTATTTTTTTCTTGTATATAAATACAAATGTGCATGTTTGTTTGTTTGTTTTTAAACATTAAAATTTGATAAAAATATGTGTTAATGTAATAATAATAAAAATATTAATAGTTAGTAATAATAATAATAATAAAATTATTTTTAAAAAATTAAGTAATTAATATTTTACTAATAATAATAAGTAATACTATATTTTAAATAGTTGTTAATAATAATAATAATAATATTTATTATAATTCATTTTTAAAATACAATTATATAATTTAAAAAAAATTTAACATTATTAATAAATATAAATAATAATTATAATAAACTATTATTATTATTATTATTATTATATGTCTAAACAATTAGTCAATTAGTCATTCAATTTAATTCAATTTAAATTAGTATACTTATCGCCGTCGGCGGCCCCACCTAAGCGGACCGCCCAGTGGTCGGGAGTGTCCCCGAGCAACGGCGCTGATCATATCGGGTATGGTCTCCTCGTTTGATGTATAGTGCGATGGTTTCCAATGGGCAAACAAACTCAGGGCTTTCTTGGCCATCACTCGAAGTCGGGGCGACTGACGATGAGCTACCAGTGCCGATGATTGCGGCGGCGGTCGTCTACTATTATAGGCGACTCTCAACAGTGTCCTTAAGTCATCACCGTTGTTGACATTGTTGTCCAACCTTTCAGCTGATGAGCCACTATTACTACTACTACTACTACTCCTGTCATCGATGTCGACGACATCATCGACTACAACATCATTGTCATCGTTGACGACATCATTGTTATCATCGACATCATTGGTACCAACATTACTAGCAGTCGTCTGTAACCTATTTCTTGTTAGTAATTTGTTTTGTAATTCTGGATCCAATTGTAATAAATAAATCAAATTTTTTGTTTGGTCGTCGACTATCGGTTCCGACGGTTCCGATAACGGTTTCAATTGTCTTGTTGTTGACGATGTCTTTGTTGTTGTTGTTGTCTTTGTGACCACTGGTGGTAGAGCTGAACAGTTTACTACCATCGATGACGATGTTGTCGTTATCATCCATATCGACACAATTATTAATAATTTAATAATTATTAATTTGTTTGATGTATTTCCTATACAGTCTTCCATAGTTTTTTTGATTTTATTTTTATGAAAAATTAATTTTCTATTAGAAAAAAATGATAAATTTGTATATAAAAAATTAATTAGATTTAAAGCTTCAAAAATTGCTTTTAAATTAAAAAATTAATGTTATTTATAATAATTATATATTATTTTTTTTGACTATTATTAGTAGTAGTATTAGTATAATAAATAATATTGAGTTAACAAAAAAATATAACTTTTGATTTAAAATTAATGCAAAAGTTTCACAATTTGTTTTTTTGGTTGTATTTTAGTAAATGTATTATTAATACTAAGTTTATTAAAAAAAATATATTGCACACAACTATCACTTACATAATAAAATATTAACATCAATATACAGTATATTAGTTAACTAATATAATAATATAGTTAAATGTGTTAAAAATTTTCATAAAATAATAAAATACTGTAAATAATATGATAATATATATTCATTTATAATTTAATTAAATACAGTATTAGTTTAGGTATTTATATATATTTTTATCATCTAAAAGTTTTTTTGAGTGAAACAAAAAGTTATTAATCAAAATTTATTATTAAGTAGTAGACTATACATTTTGTATTGTAATATTTGCATATTATTTTGTATTTAAAATACAAAATTTACCTAATTTTATGGTAAAGTTCACGTAAAACTATTTTTATTTTATTTTTATGAAAAAAATATTAAATATATATTACAGTAATATATAATTTTCTGTCTAATCATACATTGATTACTTACCGAGAATTGTAGTCTAATTTTAATATATATATATATATATATATATAATATAATATAATAACGCCTACAATATATAATATTTATTTTATAATATACAGTATATAATTGATACACAAAATATAATAATCAAATACGGGTTTTGTATTATATTATTTATTATTATTATTTTTAATAATACGTCAAAATAAATATTATTAAAATATATTTTACTATATTATACTTTTAGTAATTATAAATAATGTTTTTTTTAATAATATTATTATTATCAATAGTAAACTTTTTAAACAGATTTATTTATAAATTAAAACTTATACACAATAAATAAATATTATATTTATATTTATAGAAATTATAAAATTATTAGTATTTTTTATATCTATACATAAAAATAATATCTATACATGTATTTGAATCAAGATAATATTTAATAATACCAAATAATATTACTAATATGACAATTTTATATGACTACACACTATTATATATAAATATATATATAATTAAAGCATAAAATTATTAATGAAGTTAAAACATTGTAATATCATTAACTATCACTTTAGAAAATAATGTAATTTAAAAAAATTTATTTTATAAATTAATGATATCAAAATTCATTATAGTTTACTTGTAATCAGTAAATTACTTAAACAATAAAAATATTATAAAAAGTTATTATTATTATTAATATTATTGGTATTACTCTAATGTTTATATATTTTTTTAATAATTTAATAAGAAATTATATTAATTATATATATATATAATGCAAATATTGAACTTATAATTTTAATCTATATTTTTTTATTTACATAATATGTTTTTATGTATTAAATATATTTACATATGTATTGTACTAAATTTGATTTAATAGTGAAAAAACTGTACTAGGTTTTGTACTAGGTAAACTACAATGATATTTATTTTGTATTATATTAACTGTATTATAATTTTTTACTAACATTTGTGATTTTATCGTATTTGTTCAATGTACTTTTATTAAAATTATTTTATTATAATTTATATTAGTAATAATATTGTATTATAACTAATATTATTATTATTTATGTATTAAATTATATATGTATAATTTATATACAGTAATATATTTATATAAATATATTATTATTATAGAAATTATAGAAATAAAATTTAAATTCAATATATTCTAAACAGTTTAGCAAATAAAATATTTATTAGTATTTAGTAGTAACTACTTAATTCAATAGTTAGTATTTTATTAAAAAAAATTATAGATTTTAAACATAGATATTTAGAGACTATATTATATATTTTTATAGAAATTAAAATTTTATATTATAAAGTTATATTACATAATTAAACATTATTATAATTATTTAAGAAAATAAGATTCAAATGGCAATATTCTCATCCATTTCTCTCAACAATTATATAATTTAGTTTAAATGCCAGTAATTTAAAAAAAATTATTATATTGATTATACATATGAGTGTTTATTAAAAACAATTTTATCAATAATAATAATAAAAAACTTAAAATTACAGAAATGTCACGAATTTTGCAATATTATAATATATATATAGTATATATTAGTTTTATGTGTAATTTTTTCTATAACACTATAGTATAGTTGTTTTTTTTATAATAAAACTGTGAAATTATTATTTTGTTATTTTTAAAAAAACATAAAATATATATATATTTTTGGTTTTTTTTAATTTGACATTAATTTAATTTTTGACGCCTACTATTCAAATAAATATTGTCTAGATCAATTTAGTTGTTAGATATTTTTTAAAAAAACTTATAAATAAAATTTTATATACAGTATAGTGTTTATATACTGTTTAACATTAATATCTTATTATAAAAGCTTATACAACAAGTATATACAGCGTTATAATAATAGATTTTGTTGTAAATAGATATATAAATTTATATTAAATAAATGTTTTTTATATATATAAAAAAATCTAATCTATTTTTTTCCTTTAAATAATTTGACACCAAAAATCTAACGTAATATAATTTTTTGTCTAAAATAATTGATAATATAAAATACTTATATATATATTATTTTAGCTTAAACTATTGATTGAACCAAAATTTATAAATATAATATCAACTCATAATTAGTAAATCAAATAATTAATTTAAATATATATATAATTATTAATATAAATTATTTATTTAATTTTAATTTAACATGTACATTTTTTTGAAAACGTTGAATTAAAATTTTCATTAAAAATATAAAGATATAATAAAGATTATGTGAAAATTACTTTAATCAATTGAATTCAATTGCTTGGTTACAAATTATTTATATATATATTTACAGTAAAAATTCAATTTATTTGGGAAATAAGTTATTTATACTTATAGTGTACTATTGTATATATATAATGTAAAATAAATCTAATAAAATATTTATTTTTATAAAATTTTTTAAATGTTTTATAATCACTATTAAATTGGTATTAATTATATATTTATAAATACAATCTAAGTTAATGAAATATTATAGTAATTTTTATTGCTGTTTAAGTTTTATTTTATTTAAGTAATCTATTTATAAAAAACTTATTATACTTATGAGTAATTTATTATTTAATTTAAAATATATTTTTTTTAAATCATATCATTTTTGTGCACATTTTTGCTGTTGACTTATATTAAGTAATAATAGATAACAAAGTTTTAATATATATTTTAACAAATAGTTTATATTCAATAAACTTAACAAAATTATTTGTTATATTAATTTATTAGTATTAGTATTTAAAACAATGAATAAATAATTTAAAATTTAACTATTAATAAATAAATAAAAATATTTATTTATAATGTATTTCCTATTATTAGGAAATTAATTAATTAATAATAATTAATAACATATTTAACTTGTTTATTTAATTAACTATAATGTTATACCTATTTATCTAAGTTTGTAGTATTGAAGCTAATGCATTACTATTATAGAAAAATAAACTGTACTAGTACATTTAGTCAAGGTAAAATTAACCTGTTAGTGTTAATTTATTTTTAAAATTTATATACAATATATATCTCTTATTTTTTAAAAAAAATAAACATTTTAATTAGATATTAATCATCATAAAATCACAGTATTATTATAAATTAATGTTAACATATTTTTAAGTTATCGTAAATTATCATAAATTATATAAATATATAGTAAAATTGGGATTTAAAAATAATAATTTAATATATGACACATAAATCATCATATGATAAAATATTTTATGTAAAATTATTATCAAAGCAAAACATGTTTATTATATATTAGTTTAGTTTGGCATATGTTTAACACAATATTTTAATTGTATGATAAAAATAAAAATTTATTTTTAAAAATCTATAAAATGTTTGTTATGTTTAGTTAATACATCTCTCTTTCTTTCTTTCTTTCTTTCTTTCTCTCTATTTCTGAATATATATAAACTTATTTTATATGTGTTAACAACAATATTAAAACATCATAATACACTTTAAAATCAAAATTTTTCTATCTATAGCTTATTGATAAATAATAATAATAATAATGCAATATCACACATAACCTAGATAAAATTATGAATAAAATTATTGAAGGTTAAAATGATATATTCTCCGTATATGTTAAAATTATAATTAAAATGTAAGATTAAAATGTCTAAAAAATAAAATTTAAGTTTAATCAATATCCTAATATTGAATAGTAAAAATATTTAGACATATTTATTTAAAAAATTACATTAAGTTTAATACTAGAAATAATAATAATCAATAAATTGATTATTATTATTATTAAAGTTAATCATCTAATTAAAAATAATTAAATAGCTAAACTTATATTGACACATACAAGGTTAATCATTTTTTATACTATACTAATAAATATTATAAATACAATTATCTCCACTAAATAAATATTGTGTCAAATAATAATTGTAAAATAAATGTGTGAAAACATATACTGTATATATATATATTTGTTTAACTTATTAAACATTTATTTCATAATTGTTGATCAATATTGTTTATTCAACAATAACATTATTTTATTTGAATTATCAAATCATAACAATTGTTTTTTTTAAAAATTAATCTAGGTCAATCAATATAAGTCATTGATTTATTAAATAGTTTTATTTTAAAATAATTTATATAATATATATATATATAATGTACTTATAT